GCCAGAAAGTCAAATTAAATTTTTATGAGTGTTTGAAATTAATTAAATGATAAAAAAAAAAATTTCCACAGGAAAGTCAAATATTTTAATAAGTATTAATAACAAGTAATAATAATCTATAATAATATATCCTAGACAGATAAACTGTCTCCGCTCAGAATCGTTTTTCGTATACAATGATATAATATCATTAGATTCAAATTTAATCCCATCCATTAAAGTAACCCACTTGTAACCTATACTGTACAGCAGAGCAACATCCACAACTTACCAGCTTTTTTTTATAATGTTGAAATATTATATTTTGCTTTGGCACTCGCCTCCCTTAGACGTTAACGCATAATATTATAACATATAGATGGCATGCAAATACCGCAATAAGCTAGGTATTTAGACGTATAATTTCGCATAATGCAATAAAATAATAAAATGGCGTGGACTACGCAATATAATATAAAATATTATCAAATTACATGAATAAAGGGATATAAGCGTGCGCTCGCTTTAAGCAATTGCAAAGCCGTCGTCGCCGTTAATCTAATATTATAAACAATTGTCAAACTGGCGCATGCGTATGCGTTTTTTGTCTGTTATATTGTGTGAGAGTAACATAACTTTCATGTAGGCGGAACCCTGAATGGCCGGGCGGTGGACTTGGGCACGCCGGAAACTTGAGGGGAAATGCGTTGCCGGCCAATGAATTTAATCGGAGTAATAACCGCGCGATTCTGCGCACAGTACCGGCGCACCGGAAATCCTTTTTATATAACCGCCGACGCCTATATAGCACTTTTATATTATACTATTATTAATATTTTATACACAAAGTGATTTCATTATCAGTAAATAACGATCATTTTCTAGTCTTAGAGACCGTTTTTCCCCCTTAATTTATCTCTGAGGATTTCTTTATAATAATAMAATATAGGTATACTAGATAAATTTCCGAACCAGAARAGTTAATACAAGTTATAAGTGCCTATTTAAAATTAACACACGAATTATTTAATATAATTTAGTGCATACCTATATGCCACTGCATTCTGCTCATCTAAAATTTAGAAGAATCATATCCTGCAGTAGGTTTATATACTAATRTTTATATTATTTAYACGACTATACTATACCTAATATCATAATTCATTTATAAACGAGTATATTATAAGATAAATAAATATTCACATAATTAATTATTCATTACCAAATACAAAACGATTTCCTATCTATAAAAATAATATTTTAATTTATGAATTGTTTTATACGTATAGAATATAGATACAGGATAAAAAATAAAATATCACGCCAAACTGCCGTACAAAAAAAA